GTGATAATGTCCTATGACTTATTACTATGAGTGACTGAGTGAAACATGAATGGTTGCACCACTGGTATCCTACTCATTTTGTCATGGTTATGCAGCAAAGAAAAATTTGAGACCAATGGTCCACCACTTTCAGTGAAAACTATTCAGTTATGTTTTCATCAAGCAAAGGAGTGGTTGTGATTAATATTTTTAAAGTTTTGGCACTTTTGGACAGTTGAACTGGGCCTTAACACCTGGAATTCCGTGGGTGCGACTTCCTCATCAACACAAATTAGACTGAGGCTGCATCTGCACTGTAGAAATAATGAGGTTTGACACCACTTTTACTGCCATGGTTCAATGCTATGGAATGCTGGGATGTGTAGTTTGTTGTTGCAACGGAGCTCTCTGACAGCAAAGGCTAAATGTTTCAGAAAACTACATTTGTAGTTTGACACCACATAGCTCAGTGCTATGGCTTGTTGGGATTTGTAGTGTGTTGGGGCACCAGAGCTCCCTGACCATGGTGACCAGATCTCCTAAGCGCCAAGGAGGACCAGGCATCCCAAAATGTGGTACATTCAAGAACAAAGGAGGAGATGACCAAATAAAAGCTAAAAACTCTCATAGAAATGTAAATCCATGCTTCTGTTAGTCCTGCTCAAAATGGAGGGCATTTTGGAATTCCTTCTGGACAGAAGGTTGAATTGGAGGACCTCTAGTCACCCTGGCCCTGACCGAGAAGTCTACATATCTCACAAAACTACAAATCCCAGAATTTCACAGCGTTGAGCCATGGCAGTTAAAGCGGTGCCAAACTGAGTTATTTCTGCAGTGTGGGTGCAACCTCTAAACTGTCTCCATCTTGCATCCAACCATCAGTTCCATACAAACCAGCCTTTTCCCCTGTTTTAGTCAGTTGAATAAAGATACTGAGTGCATTTATTTTTCAAATCTTTACTTTGTTCCCCTCATGCAAAACAAACATTCGTTTAGAAAAGGAAGAAAGGCGTGAATATGCCTTGGGTCTCCAAAACACAGTGCAGAAATAATCCACTTTGAGGCTGCTTTAACTGCCCTGGCTCAGTGCTATGGAATTCTGGGAACTGTAGTTTTGTGAGACCTTTAACCCTCTTTTGTCAGGGAGAGCTCTGGTGCTACAATAAACTACAGTTCCCATGATTCCCTAGCACTGAGTCAGGGCAGTTAAAGAGGGTCTCAAACTGGATTATTTCTGCACTGTGTTTTGGTGGACCATATTTCTCTTCCAGGGCCTGAACAGACTGCCAGAAATAATGCAGCTTGAGGCCACTTTAACTGCCCTGGCTCAGTGCTAAGGAATCATGGAAACTGTAGTTTTTTTCTGAGGCATTGAGTCTTCTCTGTCAGAGAGCTCTGGTGCCACAATAAACTACAGTTCCCATAATTCCCTAGCACTGAGCCAGGGCAGTTAAAGTGGTCTCAAGCTGCATTATTTCTGGCAGTCTGTACAGGCCCCTAGTCAGGAGGCGAAAAAGAACGAACGTCGCCCGGAAGTCGGCAACCAAGGGAAATCTTTAAGAATAACTCTAGGAGCGTCCGAGGAGGGCTTGCCCCGGAAGCGGATGATCGGGGGCGGAAGTAGCGCCGGCTTCCGTATCCTGGGGTTTTGGAGTTGCTGCTGTTGCTGGGGTCGCTTAGTGGGAGAAGATGTCGATAGAAATCGAGTCCTCTGAGTAAGGGGCATCGGCGGGGGAGCGTTTACGGGGCTCAGGGGCCGGTTTCCCGGGGGAGGCTTGTCTTTGGCCGTGCCTTTGCCCTCTAGCGGTGCCACCTTTTAAACGCCCCCCCTTTGTTCCCGTTTATTTTCAGCCACGCTGAAACGGTTGTTGGTTGTTGTTGGCTGCTGCTTTCGAGTCGACCCTGACTCATGGCGGCCTAAATGCCCACTAAACTAGGGGTAGGCAACCTTTCCCCTTTAAGGGCCGAGGGACTTCAGCTCCCAGAAGCCTCAGCCATGTTGGCCAATAGTCCCATGTTGGCCAATAGCTCCTGGGATTCTGGGAGCTGAAGTCCCTCAGCACTTAAAGGGGAAAGGTTGCCTACCCCTGCCCTAAAGCACCAGATCCCCGTCTGATCTTGGAAGCTAAGCAGGGGCAGTCCTGGTTAGGGCTTGGACGGGAGTCCGACAAGGAATTGGATGGGAAACCAGCAAGCTTTGTTCAGAGTGCGTTTGCCATTTGCCTTCCTCTAAGGCTGAGAGGATGTGACTTCCCCAAGGGTCATAGAGCCATAGAGTTGGAAGAGACCCCAAGGCCATCCAGCCCAATCCTCTTCTGCCATGCAGGAACTCCCAATTAAAGCATCCCCGACAGATGGCCATCCAGCCTCTGTTTAAAGACTTCCAAAGAAGGAGACTCCACCACTCTCCAAGGAGTGTCTTCCACTGTTGAACAGCTCTTACTGTCACGAAGGTCTTCCTAATGTCGAGGTGGAATCTCTTTTCCTGGAGCTTGCGTCCATTGTTTGGTGTCCTCCGTTGTCAATATAACATCCCTTCAGATATTTAAACAGGGCTATCATCATATTACCTTTTAACCATCTCTTCTCCAGGCTAAACATACCCAGCTCCCTAAGTCTCTCCTCATAGGGCTTTGTGGTTTCTAGATCCTTCAGAGTGTCACCCAGTGGGTTTCTATGGCTGAGGGGAGGGGGAGATTTGAACCGTGGTTTTCCAGGAGTCCAAGTCCAAAGCTCTAACCACTACACACACAAACCACACCCTGGCCCTCTTTTATCCCCTTTGAGAGCCATTGCAGCGTAGTGATTTGAATGTTGGACTACAACTCCGAAGACCAGGGTTCGATCCCCAGCTCAGCCATGGAACCCACTGGGTGACCTTGGGCAAGTCAGCTGCAGAGGAAGGCAAAGACAAACCCCCTCTGAACAAATCTTGCAAAAAACTCCAAAACAAAACAAAAAACATGACAATTTTGCCTTAGGATCACCATAAATCAGAAGGTACTTGAAGGCACAAAACAACAGTGAATGTTGTGAGCCTCTAAGTTACTTCCAACCTATGGCAACACTACCACAGGATCCTTTTGGCAAACTTTGTTCAGAGTGGGTTTCTCTAAAGCTGAGAGAGTATGACATCCAGGGTTTTCCGTGGCTGAGGGGGGTTTTGAACCCTGGTCTCCCTGGAGTCCTAGTCCAAGACTCAAACCAGTGTACCGCACTTTCTCTCCCTATGCCATTAAATAAGCCTGTACTTCAGAAGTCAGGTCCTTCAGTCCTGGTTTAAATGGAGCTGCTTGGGACAGAGGCTGAGCCCTTCCAGACTTTGACCTAGAGCAGGGAAATAGCTGGTTTAAAATAACATTACAGTTGGCTTTTGACATTTGCAGCTTTGGCTTTGCAGTTTTGATTAATATGTTCTCTCTAGGAATCTCTAGGTCCTCCAGTGCAACTCTGCCAGACATTGACGATAGAGTTGTGCTGGAAAACCTAGAAGTTGGAGAAAACACTTCTCTTGCCATTTGTAGGTCTTCCAGCATGATTCAGTGATCAAGCTTCTAGCAGATATTGACCACAGAATTGCACTGGATGACCTGGAGATTCCTAGAGAGGGGTTCTCTCAGGTAAAAAGAATAGTGTTGTTTTTTTATTTGCAGTTTTTGACATTCACAGGGGTCCTTCACCCCTAATCCCAGTGAATGTGGAGGGACCACTGTACTTCTTGCAGTGTGTTTCTTTTGGGGAGGAATGTGTGGCAATGGTGTTACTTTCTAAAGCAAGTAACTGGTCTTAGCGTTATAATTTTGTAGTGTAAAAGATTAAATACCCTAAAGGCACCAGATCCTGTCTGCTCATGAAAGCTAAGCATGGTCAATCCTGGTTAGGACTTGGATGGGAGATCGACAACAAATACCAGGTGCTGTAGGGCTGTATTTCAGAGGAAGGAACTGGTGAAACCATCTCTGAGGATTCAGTGTCTAAGAAAACTCTGTGAAATTTATGGGGTTGCCATAAGTGCAAAGGTGCCTTGAAGGCGCGAGCACACACACATATGCTCTCCCATACTTTTTGTTTTTAACTGCCCTCGAGTCAGACACAGTTCAAGGCAGCCCTGTGGATAAGACATCTCCGAGATCCCCTTTCCTCCACTGCTCTGCTCAGGTCCTGTAAATTCATATCTGTGATCTCTCTAATAGAATCCATCTATCTGGCATGTCTTCCTCTCTTTCTACTACCTTTCCTAGTATTATTGTCTTTTCGAATAAGTATTGCCTTCTCATGATGTGATCAAAGTACAACAGCCTCAGTTTGGTCACCTTGGCTTTCAAGGAGACTTTAGGCTTGATCTGTTCATGGACCCATTTGTCTTGCCTTTGTGGCTCTTCATGGTATCTTCAACACTCTTCTTCAGCACCACATCTCAGATGAATTTATTTTCTTTTTATCCACTCCTCACTGTCCAGCTCCCACATCTCTACATGATAATAGGGAATACAATGGCTTGTATGATTCTAACTTATGCTCAGTTGTATATCTTTACACTTTAAGATCTTTTCTAGTTCTTTCATAGCACCCTTCCCATTCCTAGTCTTCTTTTGATTTCTGGACTGCAGCCACCATTGAAAATACTGAACACAAAACACCACTTAGTACTACACAAAACACAAAGCATGGCTCCCCTTGAGTAGGGGAGTAAGAATGGGGTAGTGGTTTGAGTGTTGAACTAGGACTCTGGAGACCAGGGTTCAAATCCCAGCTCAGACATGAAACCCACTGGGTGACTGTTGGTAAGTCACACTCTCTCAACCTTAGGAAAGCAAAGGCAAACCCCTCTGAACTAATCTTACCAAGAACACCTTGGTAAGGTCACCGTGACGTTGTTATTGTGTGTCTTCAAGTCATTTCTTACTTGTTGTTATTGTGTGCCTTCAAGTTGTTTCTGACTTATGATGACCCTAAGGCAACCCTAACATAGGGTTATTTCAGCAAAATTTGTTCAGAGAAGGTTTGCCATTACCTTTCCCTGAGGATGAGAGACTGTGACTTGCTCAGGATTACCCAGTGGGTTTTATGGCTGAGCTGGGATTCAAACCTTGATCTCCAGACTCATAAGGCCTAAGCAGACTGCCAGAAATAGTGCACATTAAATTGAGGCACTGCCCTGGCTCAGTGCTAGGGAGTCATGGGAATTGTATTTTTTTTGTGAGACATTGAGCCTTCTCTGTCAGAGAGCCATGGTGCCACAATAAATTACAGTTCCCATGATTCCCTAGCACTGAGCCAGGGCAGTGCCTCAATTTAATGTGCACTATTTCTGGCAGTCTGCTTAGGCCCATAGTCCAATGCTCAAAACCTCTATGCTGCTTAGGGTTGCTAAAGTTGGAAATGACTTGATGGCACATAACAGCCATGGAAACTTAGAAAAATAAGTTGGAGGTTTCAGTTATATATTTATAGGCCATACCTGAACGATCAAGCAATCATTAGCTAGCTTGATTGCTTGCTAATGGGGGTATTACATTATATTTAAGTTCATCAACAAAAATACTGGCTCCTCCCCAAAATTTTAAGAGAATGTGGCAACACGTGTGAGTTTTGGGTGATGTTATATGTGGCATTATTAAGCTTTGGTTGCATCGCTTTCCTTTGGAAAAGGATCTGACAGTTTTAGAAGCACCTTATGCATTAGATGATACTAGTAATTTGTGTTCTTCATCACTGTGTTTGTGAGAGAGAGGAAAGAGAAAAAAAGGAAAGAGAGAAAAAAGAAACTAAAGAAATATAATAATTAATTGTGCCTATCATTTATTTTTAGTGTCATCCGACTAATCATGCAGTATCTGAAGGAGAATAGCCTGCATCGTGCCTTGGCTACTCTGCAGGAGGAAACCACAGTGTCTCTGAACACAGTGGACAGCATAGAAAGCTTTGTGGCGGACATTAACAGTGGCCATTGGGATACAGTACTGCAGGCTATACAGTCATTGAAGCTGCCTGACAAAACACTCATTGATCTGTATGAGCAGGTTTGTACTCTTCATATCTCATAGCATCTTCATATGCAAGAAAATAAACCAATTGCCTTTTACTCTGTATCGTATATTTATACTCAGTAGTAGTATGTATTTCTAGCTTTATCTCTCTCAAAATATAATTGGTCTCAAGACTAAAATAACATTTCATTGATACAGAAAATGTACCAGTTCCTTCTAGGATTTTATTTGCCTGCTATATATTCTTTTTATTTTTGAGCATATAGTGAACAGCTGAAGCAACTGAGCTATTGAGGTATCATTCATAATAAATTCCTGGAGTATAAATTTTAAAAGTAGATGAATTGCACTGAAAAATAATACTTGAGGAATGGTATTGCAATGAAACTGTGTTCAGTCTGCAGATTTCAAAATCTTCTCAGAATAAGTAGAAAAAGTATTCTAGTCTTTTAAATTCACAAATGAGTTTAACCAGATAACTTGTAGAGGCAAGAATTCATCAACCACAGCAGAAATAGTCCTCCTTCTGCTACTGGATACCAACCTAATCATACACTCACCATGTACTAGAGATCTATTCAACTATGGGGGTGAAACAGACTGTCCCGAAGGAGTGGCTTCTGGCTGCCCCTTTGAGTGCTGGATTGAGGCCGCGGCAACTGGACACTGCGGCCCCAAACCAGCATTTTTCCAGCCCAAAAAGAAGTCACAAAATGCAGCTCCTTTTTTGACCAGAAAAAAGCCGCCCTTTTTACTGCTGCCGTGACTTGTACGTGCTTGCGGCTTGCGGCATCTAATTACTGTGCCGCAGGAGTTTTGAAACACTGCCTGCCATCTGGTTGGGTGGGTGGCGTGACGCTGGCTTGAGGGTGGTGTCGGGGCGTGCATCGTCCAAACGCCAAGCCACCCCCAAGCCAGTGCTTACTGCCAGTCTGTTCAGCCTCTATATTGTGTCATTGAGATTATCACTATTTCAACTCCTGCCATTTCCTGTTTGATGTAGTTAGTGTCTACACTGACAGGAAGGCCTGTGGATTTCTGTTTGGGCTCTTGTTTGCATTTCTCCCTTATATTTTCCACACATGGAGATAAACAAAGGGAGACTGAGCTGTTGAGAAGCTGAAGTTGTCTTTAAATATATAGATAGGGTTTGTAGAGTGCCTCTACTTATGTTGACTAATAACTGTTTTAGTCATAGCAATGCCTCTGGTTTGCAGCCTTTGCTACCCCACTTCAATAATCTGTATCATGCTTGGTTTAAACAGCCTAATGCTTTAATTTTCTATAACTCATAGTAAAATACTGGATTAAAGTTTTATTGATGTGCTATTATTTATGATACTGTTATTCCTGATATTTCAGGTTGTTCTGGAATTAATAGAGCTTCGGGAATTGGGTGCTGCTAGAAGTCTTCTGAGACAAACTGATCCAATGATCATGTTAAAGCAGACTCAGCCAGAGCGATATATTCATCTTGAGAACCTTTTGGCTAGGTCCTATTTTGATCCACGTGAGGTATGTATAATTTTTAAAATGTATATTAAGGGTTTTTGCTTAGCTTACTGTTTTATTTGATGAACTCTGTTATTTACACACAAAGGGATCCTGTAGCACAGGGACTGGCAACCTACAGCCCGGGGGCCGGTTAAGGTC